GAGCCATCGTAATTTTCGAAAAGTTGTGATTGTTTATACTTGACAATCGTTTAACCATATTATATGAATCCATGTTGGGCACTAGGAACATGCATACACTTAACTTATTTTCGCTTTGCTTTTAGCTAATGCTATTCAAGGCATAACTTTTAATTCAATGTTTTTCTCTTTTATTGCCTTTCTAATAGTAGACTTCTTTAAAAAATATTAAGCTTTATAGATAAAAAACAATTTCAACTGACTGTTTTGCTGTGAGATATGCGTAAAATATGTCTTTTTATAACTAACATATAGAGTACATTTTCATCTATTTGCTTTTATACAGTAATCAAACTCCTTATTGAAGGCATTCCGGCCACACTGAAAACACTAACGCAGCGTCGGGCTAAATCTAAGCGCCTTGCTTCAATCTATACTAGTAAGTCATTAGATTGTACTGATTTTACGCTTATGATGCATGGGATACTTATAATGTACAATTTTCTTATTTGAAAAGTGGAGATGACATTAAGTTTCAGAAGTGCTATATTGCCAAGCATCTTGTAGCCTTCTCTTAGTTTTTATACTTTGTTCTATAACTACTTTGTAATAATAATATAAGGTGAATTTCTTGGAGAGCTTGCCAAGCATTGAGGGATAATTGTGTGATGTTTCTTATATTATGAAATGGAGCCTTTCTAGTCTACATCTTAGGTTATCCTCTATTTGTTGTTCTTCATGGGTATCGTTATAGGTGATAGGGCATTCTGTTACCGCTCAGAGAACTGGACACTGAAAGATACGTGACAACAATATCCCTACTCGTACATTACACTTTACTCGTTGTCCAACTATGATAGAGTTAAAAGACACCGATAATATTTGATAATAATAATATTTTTCATATACTTGATATTTTAATGAGTGAGTAGGTTCTTGAGGCTACCAGTAAATCAGATACATGAGCTGTGTTCATCCTAGTTCAATTAAGGTGATGAAGGACTGGTAGTTGATTTTTGCCATAATGTTATGAGTAGAGCTGATGTTTTCCATCGAAATTCACATAGCCCTGCTTTCCCTAAATATTTTCTCATCCAGGCAGGAGTGAACAGTTGTTTCGACATCTCCTAGGTCTTATCAACATCCCAAGTGGGAGTCGAACCATGACGGTGTAGCGTCTAAGCTCGACACGTTAACCACTACGCCACATTGTCACGAGTGTCCATTAGTCACAGGGCAAATGCATATTTTGACGAAGACCTGGCATTTTCCATATCACATCCTCTGTTGGGATTGTCGATGAAGCAAACGTATTTTGCTTCTGACATTCTTTAAAATTCACATCTTTTCTTCAAACTCAAGGTCACTCTTGACGATGTGGCGTATTGGTTAATGCGTCGGGATTACTCGCTGCGTTCACATGGTTCGACTCCCGCTCGGTATGTTGATAAGACCAATGCCAGATCGAAACTGAAGTCCACTTCAGCCTGGATGAGAACAAATTTTGGGAAAGCATCAGCTTTAACCATATCGTTGTTGACAAATTCAACTACCAGTCCTTCATCACCTTAAACGAGTATGGTGAACAAAATTCACATCTTTGAGAATTCCAAGTTAATTTTTGCTCTAAAAGTTGCTTGAGGTGGAGCACAATTACTACTATATAAAGGGTATTACTATGCTTTTGTACGGCGAAATCTCGAGTGAAATTGTCTAAATTTATTTATCAGTCTCATAGTGTTATTTATGTACTTTATAGAAAAGAAGATATTCTTTGTACATTTCTGACTGCAGCCAATCTAACTGGGAAAACCATCTTGCATTGGTAGCACAACAATGTCAAATATGACCTCGGCTTGCATTACACTTGCTGAAACCAAGCAATCCCAAACGCATAAAATACACTAACACAACAAAGTCTGATAAGGTGATCTAGGATGTTTTGTTATATATATATATATATATATATATAACCTCATTTATTAATTTTGGTCAGCACTTCTGACTTTTGTCCATTCTTCAGGTGTGTTCTACAAGCTTTACGAGCAAGAGTTCACTCCGACTCAGGCGGAAATAGAAAATGTCTCTGAAGCGTCAGCCAACAGCCACGGGATCTCTGCAAGTCTGATGCGGACGGCCATTATAAACTCTCGCCAGCATGAGGCCTTTCTGTACAAATTGTATTTGGATCTCAAGGAGATAGAGGCCAAGGCTCAGCAACTCAATCAGAAATATCAGGAAGTAATGAGCCGTCTTCACGAGACGGTAGAGAGTCGAGTGGCTGTACCTACGATAGAAGTCTATGTGAGCTGCTTTATTAACCCGCTTTGTGTAAAAGTTCTTTATTTAACATGTATTCAGCCTATTTTGTTTAAGGTGATGAATGACTGGTAGTTGAATTTTCCTACAATGATATGAGCAGAGCTGACGTTTCCAGTTAATTTAGCATAACCTTGGTATGAAGACCAAGTTGGCGTGACCTTTTGTGTGGTCGCAGTCTCTTTTCGTTGTATAGAAGTTGTTTGACCTTGTTTTCGCAACT